TAGGGATAAACATAAAATGCTATAATCAGTTGGGACTTGTTTTAAAATTGGCAAATAATCATACAGGCGATACAATCCGGAAGCTGATGTGACAAATTTCTTTCATTTTATTTGTGATGACATTAATTACACAGTCATCAGTATTTGGATATGCTTTGTGATATATATATGACACTTTGGGTCAAACATTGTCGTAGGACCTAGTTTTCTAAACGAAATATTTACAGTACGAAAAACACAATAAATCAAGGTAAATTAGGTACAAATAACAACTATAGATGAATATTTTCAACTGGAAAAGCTGTACGATGACATGTGTTTCAGAAACAGAAAGTACAAAGCAGCATTCATATCGACATGGAATGGATCGTCATTTTCTATCGTCCTAACGATAAGAAACAGCCTCTCTCTTTCTCTCTCGCGTCTCTTTTTCAATCTGTTTCAAAACGTTCTCTCTCTACCTTCTATACTCCTCTCTCTTTCTCACCGTCTCTCTTTCACTCTTTCTCCCTCACACTCTCTCGATGCCTCTCTCACTCTGTTACAAAAAACGTTATCATTCTCCCTTCCTGTATCCTCACATAATTCAATTGATATATTCACGTCATTTAATACAAAATACCAGTTCGTCGCATCAGGGCCATGAGAATCATAATTTGATATATCAATAACATCATATTTAAATTCAAGAGCACATAATTAATATACTGATCACAAAAAGACATTATAAGCTGCTCTCAGGTACACACATTCATACTTCAAATATCAGAGAAATGACGATCAAATCAATGTACATGTATCTGAAAGCTAGTACATATTGATATGCGACGGACAGGAGTACACGTTAGAAATACAACGGTACATACACAAATAGGTGTATGCTACAACTCAGCGCATACAGAAAAGGGGCATGAAATTGAACATATTGACAAAGAAAGCACTTAGTGGTGCAGGAAAACAAATGACGGGGTTGGGGGATTGAGGCGACACTCCCGGGGACTGAGATGATATAATCCACAGTGGACACACTTGTATGGGTGTGTGCGAGGAAAATGGGGAGGTACCGCCAGACCGACAACCCAGTTTATTTGCCCATTTCAGCCCCTTCCAGCAGGTCGGCCTGGCGCAACATTTAGCCTTTGCCAATTTAAAAAGGATTAGCGAAACAATGGCAGTGAGGGTGTGTGTGTGGTGTGTGTGGTGTGTGTGGTGTGTGTGTGTGTGTTAAATCTGGGGGACATGTAAAAAATGTTATTTACGGCTGGCAAGATGATCGTACATTCGTTTATTTATTCATACAATTAATCAAATACTAGCACTTTTCAGACATTTTTTACACACATTGAACAATTTATATGCATTACATACATTTATTTTATCCATGCAGGTAGCAAAGGTACTGTAAGTCCCCATGGTTCCTAGTATGGTGATCTACCTTCAGTTGTTGGCGATCTATAGCCTGTTTTTATCTTCTATTGTCCTAATAGTGCTATTAGTTTTAACCTTCCACACCAGTTTTAAATCTAATTGTGATATTCTAGTTGTTTTACTGTCCTTCAATGACAGGTTTTATCATATACTCATATTCCATTTCAATGTAAAATGTTCTCGTCACGATATGGCTGAGATATTGCCGATGTGACGTTAAATATTAACTCACTCACATTTATTTTAAGCACTTTTCATAACATACTTTACATACATTTATTTTAAGCACTTTTTATACATTTCATGGTTATGACCTGCTCCTTGTTTGGTCAAGATGTCGTTTACTGTTGACAGTCTTGCAGGACAGGTCTTCAATAAACATTCCCACGACTGCCAGGAATGTCTCTTCTTATTGCTCTTGAACATGTATCCTTGATGAACTAATATTCTTCCTCCACGGTTGGCCGGAATGAACTTAAGATCTACCTGTGCGTGAGCCATGATTGCGAATGGTTTGCTAAATATATAATTCCTCTATTTAAACTCTGTGTGAAGAACTGTTCACAACTGTAAATTCAGTAGGTGGTGAACTCGTTAATTTAACCATGAGCTAGAACTCACTAAAGTGGTGAACTCGTTAATTAAACCATGAGTTAGAACTCACTAAAATGGTGAACTCGTCATGAGCTGAGACGACCCCCGTACTGTCAAAACATTGCTAGTTGGCGTTAATTACTTCAAAGGACCCCGGCAAGTCGGCCTGGCGCACCTCTCTGCAGGTCTATTTGGTTCAAATGTCTGCCTGGCGGGACGCCCCCGAGCATAATACACTGGAGGCGGGGTGGGAGATGGTGGGATGGGAAGGGTAGGGGATGGCCGTGTGAGGGAACGGGATGTGGGAAAGCATTGTTCGGGGAAGGTTGAACATAATTTGCTGGAGTATGTCGCTCCTCCTGCATTCTGTTCGCACAGATTGAAGAAAAGAACGATAATACCCCACGTTCTGTTTGTTTTCTGTCAATCAGGGCATTTTTGATGACTTGAATGGACGTTGGACCATACCATTGTTAAAAGCATTGTCTAAGTTCAGACCATGTCAGACTATCTTTACTGGGAAGTCCTTCATACCAAATTTACCGGCCATTGTCTAACTGTGACTATAGGCAGCTAATGACTCTATGATGGCCATGATGACAATGGTCAAGCTGCGTTGATTTTCTTTCTATTTACAGCCGTGTCATTATTTAGAGAGATATTCAATTTACATAACTCATGGAATATCATAAATATCCCTGATAAAACCATATTCCAAATTGCTTACGATATAAGTTATACCTATAAACAACTATTAATCAAAGTGTGTTTGTTATTTTGTTTTGAACATCTTTCAAATATGTGATATAAACAATCAATAAGCCATCTGTGGGAACAAATATCAATTTTATACAAACGTAGATATTGATATGAGATTCAGTTATCAAGGAATGGTTGGATTAATGGATGGATCGATGGGTTTATGATGAAACGACGAGAAAATAAGGTTATTCACTTGTAACAGCAGGCACTGTTTTGTGAGTTAGATATGGTTTCAACTCTTAACTTCATAGTTAGCGAGGTTGGTTTTGTAATTTTGACCCATATCAACAGTTATGTATTCGTCTCACCTAACCAGCTACCTGTCATCTTTGATAAAACAACTCAGACACAGTTTTGGAGACACATCACGCGTCTACGTCAGAAGACATTATTCCAATGACGTTTCATCATCGTGTATTCATCTTTCTAAAAGCGCTTTTATGTTTAAAGATGTTCCATCGACCGGAATGGGAGGAAACAATGCCTGTGAGAGGCAAGGATGTTTTAAAACCAACTTAACTACAGTATGAGGACTTATTGAGCGAGCGCAACAATACAAGTTAGTGTCCTCTTTGTCCATCAAAATACACAGAAGCTTTCTCCTTTAGTGGCATTTAGGTTTGTTTGGTCAAAGTGAAGTTGTAATGGCATTCTTAACAGTACCCTCTGATCTGTGTAGGGCCCTCATAGCAGTGCGGAGCATGTACTGAAGCCTGCCTTTCTGACCTGAACAGTCGATTGTCTAACGAACCAAGTAATTGAGGGCACATGAGAGAAACACCCCAAACACGGACGCATTTACCTTTATTAACAGCATAAATTCTTCCAGGAACCTCGCAGGAAAATCATCAATCGTTTTAAATGCTTGATGTGTTGATTGTTGCTTTTGTCGTTCACAAGACAGTAAATCAAAGTCTTGATGGTAGGTCATTGTCACATTTCCGTCAAGGAAAGCATTCATGTTTTCATCAATACAAATAGAAGGGATTTTCGCTTGAATATTTTAGCACTAAGCATACTGTCTGGATAACAACATGGAACAGATATGCTATCATTATATGCAATAAGGATTCACATGTGACTAAATATAGTTCCGACAATTTCATTAAGCCCTGTGGATATTATCGCATTAAGGTACACTTATATACTCATCTCGAACTCTGATTGTACATGAAAGCTATCCACATATATTCACTATCAAGTGATACGGAGTGAGCGAGTTAAAATGTATAGGTGGCATTTCTGCCATATACTTAATTTTTACGCTTAATTATAATACATTTAGAATTTAAAAACATGTGATAATGAAATAAGAAAATATGTGTTTTGTGTCCATAAAGCGATATGACTATACATAACAATACAATATGTAAACGAGCATTAAATCACCAGCAACAGAAGTTAGAGATCATCACACTGAGGACCTAGGGAACCTCTTAAATCTGATACTCAGGTTGTCCTTCGTTGTTCGCGACTGTCGCCGAGTTTTAATCCCAAATTACGACAAACATATATATTCACAGGACAAAAATAAAACTGTAGGGTGGAAATAAAATTACTTTTCTTCTGAGGGTAACAGGTAGGTTTACTCTGGTTCAGCTGCTTTTAAGATATCGTCATCAAATTAACAAAAAATGAAAACTCTACCAAACTGAATTTATTATGTAAACAAGTTTAAATCATTTCAGTTAGTCTAATTTCTTGTAAAAATCAGATCAGCAATAATTATTAAACACTGACTTTATCCTAAAGGTTTAGTCGCTGCTTCGAAATATTTATCCATTATGTGAAAGAAAAATCAACATGTTTTTTTTTATAAAGAAGTTGTTTCCGTCTTCATTTCAAGATATCCACCCTTTTCCATAAATAGCAGCAAAACAGTTCTTAAGGACACGCCGCATACCGAGCATGTCTACAAAAGGACATTCCTCGGAATGCAAAGTTATGCCCCAAACCGCACATTTCCCAACAGACCCGCAGATTATATACTGGTTGGCCACTGACATTTCTAAATTTGAACGTAACTAACAATTAAAAAACAATATATTTAAACATCAGATGACGTTAACTGTTCTGAAAGTGTTTCTGTATATTTTCTTTCTTTATATAAAATAGAACAAAATGAAAGATTCTTTTTTCGTGAAACAACTTCAAAGAGGTAAAAATCTATTTACAGTGAAAAATACTTATTAGTTAAATGCCAGAGTTTTACTCACTTTTAGTTGGTGGCCGTGTAGAGGACATGTTAGAAAGTTATGCCAGTCAAGATCGAGGCGTGACTATCCAGGGATACTGCGCGTGCGTGATGACGGTGAAAATGTGAAAGGACAACAGAGACATCGCTTATTTCAATCCTCCTGGCTTTAAATTGTTGAGAACGAGCCAGGTGTGGGAACATCCCATGAACACCGATGAAATGTGCGTCTAGATATATTGATTATCGTAGATCAATACCGTGTTATGCACAGGCAAATATAACTTTTAAGAAAGGTCACGCCATTAAATGCTTTGCCTGGTTATTCAAGTGTCGCCGGATTATCAATTTTCATCTTTTTATACAATGGGGTGGTATTTTGCCATCGGGAACAAGACTCCCCGAAAAACGAAAAATGGTATTTAATGTATTGATGTCTTGAGTCGCTTCTTTGTCTTGTTAGCCAAATTGCTCTCTTTTAATTATTGTCAGAAAGGTTAGCGCGATGAGCCCCATCACTACAACAGGATCAGCAAAAACACTAACTTCTCACTGATTAAACTGTTCATAATGTTGAGGTTCCAAACTGTTAAAACAGAATTAAAATCTGAACATGCAAGAAAACACAACGTATCGATTCTTGACGATGTCTTCTTGAGTATGAATGTCATTATGTTGATTATTGATCACATGTCGAAGTGGGAGTTGTGAAGGGTAACTTGGCCTCTCGGGGCTTTGATCATGCCAGCGGAGGTGCTTGAGTACACCAATATCCAGTATGATGTATAAACCTAGGATTGTTTCTGGAGAAAGAGCAAGAAGGCATAACGGTATTGAACAGTTACGCTAGTCCTTCTGTGTGTTAACATTAAGATATCGATCGCATTATTAGTGTTACTCACAAGTACTTTCACTTTAAAATAAAGAAACAGTCTATGCATTACATTATTGTGATATGAAAACCATCACAGTTTCTCCGAACCAGATCCCGAATTTTGATATTACCTTCTAACAATGATTGCCCTTTGAAAAATATAAGGGACAAAGCCCTTCCCACATCCACAAGAAACCTTTTCACTGAAAAAATATTTTGTTTTGAATAATATATGAAATTGATGTATCGTACAGTGTAAATTGAATGCTGGTGTTCGTGAATGCGCCGGCATGTGTAAATATCTTATCGGTTGCATACACGTTGTTAAGTGAGATTCAAAACCAAAATAATTTTCGAACATTTTGGAGTGAGTGAGTGAAAGTTGCTTCACGCCGCATCAGTTTTTTGGGGGCAGCTGTTCGTGGCGAGACATATCTGTTATATTACAATAGTTTAAGGATACAAATAAGAATGATCGTGAAATTCACTAAATTTCGAATTCTCAGGCAAATATCACATTCAAGGATGAAACCTGACTATTGAGGTAATATTCTATATTTTGTCACATAATTTGATTTCTTTTAAATAAAATAAACTTAAATTTAACCACAATATGGTCACTCTCCAAAGATAATTACCCTATCTAATTCTTCATATAATAACGAAGCGTCGTTATTTGGGCCATCCAGGTTTATCATTGATTTAAACCTGTGTAGGTTTAGTTGAATCGTGACCATAATAGCATTTCGTTGGTACTTATATATTTGCGAGTTTGATATCAAGCATGAAACAGCTATCCTTCTAGAGTTTCTCTTAAATGAACAATGTGTTTGCTTCACATACTACGCGATAAAACCCTATGAAGTGGTATGTAGGTAGATATAATTCAATATTGCCCTTTATGTGTCATTCTAATAAATTAACAAATCTGTATTTAACGTATATTAGATATGTCAAATTTGCCCATTGATATTCACCAATATCCACTTCGTATTAACATAAAAGCCTTGTGCAAATTCAGCACGAACCGATAACATTTTTTTTGATATTCAAACTATACATGGATGAACGCTGGGATGAGTGAGTGAGTTAACATTTAAAGTCACATCGGTAATATTTCAGCCATATCGTGACTGCAAAAACTCTCTCTAAAAAAGTCAACTTGTGTACAATAAATACCTGTCAATGAAAGACCATTAAAGTACTAGACTATCACAGAATGTCTCTTAAAACTAGTACATAACCATAAAAATATATGACTATAAACAATACAATATACAAAAGGGCTATCACCAACAACTGAAGATAGATCACCATACTAGAGACCGTAGGGACTACAGTACGTTTGCTACCTGCATGGACTCTAGCTGGATTTACACCATCCCCTCTGCCATTGGCGATTACATACAAAGCCAGCCACGAATTAAATTGAGATACATTCTACAATTAAAAGCCTGGTAGCCTTAAATTTACTATAAGACATTATCTTATTTTCCCTCTCTGGAGGATAATAACGTTACAATACTTTAACCCCCCTTTGAGGATACAGCCACTGACAATCTTAGTTGATAATTTAATCTACCGAGTCTATAATAACAGATCTATTTACAGAACAATCAATTAAAATTTTGTAATTAACTCTATTTGTTTTAAGAAATCTATAATTAAATGCAAATTAACTATATATAAAGATCCGTCATGGATATAGCTGTGAAATAATTATCTCTTGTAATGGAAAAATCAATAGAGTCGAGAAGAACACGCCTGACCGTGATCTTTCATCACAAGGGATAAAAACGGAGCATCCTCCCCTTCAATAAATAGTCATGGGTATATCTCGAATGACCAATACGACATCGCCATAAAATGGCTTCCTCAAATTTGGACTGACAACCCAAGTAGGTGTAACCGATAGTTGGTTTAATTTCATGGAGTTTATGTATACCTACTTGGGTGTCCCACTCTGTTGCATTACATCACAGATATAACATCTAATGAGCGGTTTATAATCATTAGATCCGTGAACATCTGGGTTAAAATTGATCTTCAGTAACCCATGCTTGTAATAAGAGGTGACTAACGGGACTGGTGGTAAGGCTTGCTTCCTTGGTTGACACTTGTCATCGTATCCCAGTTGAGAAAAGCGATACTCAGGTTGTTGATCCCTGGATTGTCTGGTCCAGACTCGATTATTTACAGACCGCCGCCATATATCTGGTATATTGCGGAGCGTGGCGTAAAACTAACTCACTCACTCACTCATTATAGCCACAGTACGGAATAAGAAATGTTTCAAATGTTTATTGAATTGATGAGAACAAGTGATAAGAATAGACTCTTAAGACTTTGTATCTTTCTTAAAAAAGTGTTTGTATTTGGATCGAAACAAATAATCTCTTTGATAAGATCTTTATGTGGCGCCTTCAGGTGTTGGCGATCTATAGCCCAATTTTACATTTTATTATCCAGAATTAATTTTCTACATTTAAAGATATATGCTAGCTAGTTTTAACTCAATCTGTGATAATCTAGTTGTTTTACTGTCCTTCGTTGACATGGTTTTATATACTATATGTATGTATTATAAATTTAGAACTAGTTTTAGTCACGATATGGCTGAAATATTGCCGATGTAACTTTAAATCTTAACTCACTCACTCACTTTATGTGGCGCACATGTACTGTTGGCCTCAAGGCAGTCTATACGACAAAAATGATGATGATGATGAATAAGAAGTGGTGTCACAGATTTGTAGCTGCAGCATCAGCCATTATGTTACCAATAATTCCAACATGGCTGGGTTACCAACAGCCAAAACGATGTCGCATTGGCTAGTTGCAAGACCATCATATAATTCAACAAATTCAAGTAAAAGTGGATGTGAATATGAAATATTTTCAATAGCCTGAAAGCACGAAACAGAATCAGAAAATATTGTGAATTGCGTATGGTTTGACTGTTTGATGATTTAGGTTAGAGCTGTTAAAATGACATTAGCTTCTGCTGTGAAAATGAAACAGTTGTCTGGATGAGATAGTTTTGGATCCAATGATGGTAGCGCAGGCAACAATGTCCCCATCCGTAGAACCATCTGTAAATATAGATTTGTAAGTGTTTATTATACATTATTATTATATTCCTGTTGATAAAGTAATCGATTTGTTTCTGATTTCTTTAGTTGCGTTAGTGTCAGGTTCACTTATGGTTTTACATACTGCCATGGATGAGAAGACAAAAGCTGGGTTAAAGCTATGTTTTCAAGTTTTATTTTTGCAGCAGAAAGATATGTCTGTATTCGTATTCCAAGGGGCGGGGCAAAACAAGGTTTCCTTTCGTAAAGGTTCCCGAAGAGAGTCAAATGCTGGATTAAATTTGTTTGAAAATGATTTTGTTACATAATCCATAAGGATGATTTGAGGAGGCGCTGTTTTAGTGAGGGTTCATCAATCCCCACGTGCATACTAGTAATTGGAGAAGTTCGTAAACCACCAAGGCAAAGCCATAGGTCTTGGTGGTGAATAGTATCTACTGATCTAATAATTTTGAATTACTTTTACAGGCTCCACCAAAGATAATGGAACCGTAATCCAGCTTGGAGCGCACAAGTGCTCTGCAAAGTTGGAGGAGGGTTTTCTGACCCCCTTAGTACCTTGAATTAGAAACAGTCTTTTAGTATCTTTTAAATATTTAATGTGGGATCGAAAGGTCAAATGCTGATCAAACATTATACGGAGGAAGTTGGCTTCTTTAACACCTTTAATAGGAGTGTCGTCTAAAAGTAATTGCGGGTCTTTATGATGTCAATATTTTCTACAAAAATGGACACAGTTTGTTTCGATTTGGAAAATTTAAAACCATTTTCCAAAGACCATTTGTGGATTTATTTAAACAAAGTTGCAGTTGCCTTTCAATAGTGTTCATATTTTTACGCGACAATAAATACCAAAATCATCCACAAAAAGCCATCCATCAATTGAATCGGTTAAAATTTAGCTTAACTGTTAATCTTTATGCTAAATAATGTGACAGACAAAAGACTGCCTTGTAAGACACCCTGATCCTGACGATAATGATCAGACACGCGTACATGAAATTGTCTGTCAGTTAAAGTTGGATATGAAGTGAGGCAAACGCGAAATCCAATGTAGTGTAATATTTCCATGTAGTGTAATATACTTTTTCTAAATCGAAAAAGATAGACACTGCATGCTGGTTATTTTTAATTGCATTTTAACAAATGACTCTG